GCAGGCAGCAACAGGCGCTGGGATGCCTTGTATAATTACATATACATGTTCAACTGCTAACCAGGTAAGACCCGTTTTTGTGGTATCCTGTTCAAATACTTGGGTGAGAGGAATGGGTTTCACGAGGTGCTAGATCAGAGTCCGTTATCATCGGAGATACCAACTGTTAGTATGGTATTATATGTTTGAGATTGCTCTTTGATTTGATACAGGATTTTAAAGAAGCAATAGCAAAGTTCCCTGACTTGAGTGATGTCAGGTAAACATTGCTGTCACCAACTCCAAGAAAATCTTTGTTTGCACTTGATATCCATTTTGTATGTCCTAATGCAGATTGAAGGATTTAGAGATATTGCTTCAGAGTTTTGTGCCTGCCAACTGAAAAAATCTATCCAATATCTTAGAATGTGTACAGGTTGCACTGCCGATAGCCAGATTCACAAGTTCGCGCTGTGTGTCATTTAAGGTACCATCACATGACTGGTATTTAATTTTGAGGATATTGCAAGTGAAAAGCTAAGCTATCCTCGACTTAGATCATCATTCATTTTGGAATCTTTTATAAAAAACAGACATTAAATTGTATCTCTTCCTCCTAAGATATTACACTCTACCCAAGTTATTCATCTGACAAGATATGGATCCTCTGTCTCTGTCTGGGTGATTGTATATGCATGTCCCACATGCACGTAAGTCAACATTATAACATTTGGCAAAACTCAAAACTCCCCTGTTGTTTGGGTATCTTGTATTAATTTATAAACATTGGTTGAGCTTGGACAAGGGAGAAAGACAAGACCGTCCTTTAAAAAAATCTTATTTAGTTAAATTGTTTTGTTCTCTCTTTTATGTTATAGACTTTACATAGATTCTAGTACCAGTAAATTTCACCAGGTGCTAACCAAGCTAGCTTGTTGAACCCGGCCGGTTATCACTGCTCTGTCCTGTTGCCTTTCTACTTACCAACGATTACCTGGTGATGCAATAGATGTTTTGCATTTGTATCTATTGAAACCGACAACTATTTGATTCAAATTCATAAATGTTATGTCTTGTGAAGGTGGAAGATTTGCGGGCTCCAATGTGCCCTCAATAATAAGAGAGAGAGAGAGAGAGAGAGAGAGAGAGAGAGAGAGCTAAGTATTAGTATTCTATTTCTTGATGGATTCTGCGGGTTGGAAGATTTGATACTAAAATGGTTAAAGGGATTTGATTGAGCGGGTAACACACGACTCACGACTTGCTTTGCCCCAACAGAGTCGGCCGTCTTGTCTTTATCTGTTTTATTTTATTTTCCTTTACGTGAAGGTTTAGCTTTTATCGACTACACCAATAAAATTGATATAAGTGACAAAGTAATACTTTGTGAATCTTGTCCACAAAAACATCAGAAACTACAAAAGCTATCAACTGTGTAAGAGAATACAAATGATGATATATTTAGCAACTCACACAAACAGGTTTTGTTTGGTTATTTTTAAAGATTTGGTTCGTTATTTTGAGTTTTAGTTCTGCCCTAATGGACTTAATTAGATGGATTTTTAACGCCAGAAGTTGAAAATTAAAACTCTATGGAGATTGTAAATTGCCAACCATCACTAGAAAGAGTAATATATATTGGTTACCACAAACCAATCAAATACTACTGCTAAATATATACAAGTTGACATTTGACAAAAAAAAAAAAAAAAAAAAAATCAAATCAAATCAAATACTGCCAAACATGACTTAGCACCACTTAAAGTTGCCGTCATTGAACAGCAACTTGTAATGGTCCTTCAACAGCAACTGAAATTGATTACACCGCTTGCTCTTACATAGACAGTGAGCTTTCATTTTATGGAGTAATATCACCGTCCATTTGCTGGACAACTCATCCACCGACGTTGTCACCAGCCTGGAATAAGTCAATGATCAATTGACAAACGTTTCTAATCAAATGCAGTATACTGCTTTCTATCCGATGATACTGATCTTGTATGTGATGATTTCCTCTACATCAATCTCCATTTTCTGGACACCGCCTTTCAAGAAAAAGATAAAATATTTCAAAAACTAATATCGATTTTTTGTTGCTGGCAGAAAAATCTAGTATATGATAATCCATCAATATGGTTGAAGTGTCGTTTTTTCCGTATAAAATAACACTAGGGAAAAACAAGTATGAAAGTTTAAAATATCTATCAATATAAAATTATTAGAAAACTCTAAAGTATGATTCACGCAGCATTATATATTAGCCCCAGCAAATTAAGCTGGACATGAACTGCAAAGGAAAGAGCAATTAACCATGGGGAAACCAGACAAGAAGCCTCACGTTATCTGCATCCCATATCCTGCTCAAAGTCATATAAGCGCAATGCTTAAGTTGGCCAAACTTCTCCACCACAAGGGCTTTCACATAACATTTGTTCACACAGAATATAACTACAAACGTTTGTTGAAGTCACGAGGTCCCAACTCTCTGGATGGTTCACCGGATTTCAATTTTGAGACCATCCCAGATGGCCTCCCCCCATCTGAAAATGATGATTGTACTCAAGATGTTTTCCAGCTTTGTCTTTCAATTGAAAAACATTGCTACGGTCCTTTCGTTGATCTAGTTAGGAAGCTCAACAAAAGGGCTTCAGTTGATGATGATTATCCTCCTGTAAGTCGTATAATATCAGATACTGTTATGTCAACATTCACACTTGAAGCAGCTCAAGAACTAGGACTTCCAAATGTACTGTTTTGGACTGTCAGTGCATTCACTGTCATGTGCTTCTTGCACTTCCCTCATCTTCGTGAACGAGGGTATACACCTCTTAAAGGTATGGAGTATAACTTAATTATTGTTCATTCCACATGATTTGAATATATAAAAGGAAATGAGAAAAGAGTAGACACGTCTTAATTTTTGAATATTAATTTCAGCTAATATGGTGGCTAAGTTTGCAGAAATATGTGTATGAACGATACAACCATATAGTTTAGATACAGTAAGCTATTGGTTAAGTCAAATTTTGTATGTCATTTGAAATTCAAGAGGCCTCTTAAGATTTTATAATTTAATAAATGTTTTCCACTTTATTGTCGATTCTGAAATTCTTTCAAAATATTTAGCACTTTTACCTTCCTCTTTTGTTCTTTAGCATGTCGGACATTCATCTTTTTCATTTCCCCTAACCGGTATAAACTCAAGAATAGTGATCAATTGGAAATAGGAAAATCTAAGTCATCTTAATCGATCCAATTTCCCCAGTTGCTAATTTCCTTCCGTATTCTTTTGACATAAGAAGATGTTGACCGGAATTTTTTTGCCCGGAGTCATAAATATGGTCATGTTTTTCTGTTACAATTTACAGACGAGAGTTATTTTACAAATGGGTACATGGACAACACTATTGATTGGATTCCTGGAATCGCTAGCATACGCTTAAGAGAGATGCCAACAATAATCTGGACAAGTGATCCCAAGGATGAATTTGTGGACTATTTCATAAGGCTAATGCCAAGAACTTGCCAGGGTTCAGCCCTGATTTTGAACACTTTTGACGAGCTAGAGCATAGTATTTTGAAGGAATTTTCTTCAATGATGGATCATGTATACACTCTTGGACCAATTCACTTGCTTATGAACGATATGCTAAAAGATGACCACTCCACTGAATCCATCCAATCCAATCTATGGAAAGAAGATCATACTTGCATCGAATGGCTGAATTCGAAGGGGCGTGGCTCAGTTGCTTATGTTAACTTTGGTAGCATTACAGTAATGACTGAAGATCAGTTGATTGAGTTTGCATGGGGACTTGCTAATAGCATGCAAAACTTTCTGTGGATCATCAGGCCTGATCTTGTTAATGGAGGGCCAGTTGTTCTGCCGCCTGAATTTCTCACTGCTACTAAGGATAGAGGGATGTTAGCAACTTGGTGTAACCAAGAACTTGTTCTTAATCATCCATCAATTGCTGTATTCTTAACACACTGTGGGTGGAATTCTATCCTTGAAAGCTTGTCTGCTGGAGTACCAATGATTTGCTGGCCATTTTTTGGTGATCAACAGCCTAATTGTTTATGCTGTTGCAATTACTGGGATGTTGGCGTGGAGATAGACAATAATGCGAACAGAACACAGGTGGAGAAGGTGGTAAAAGAGTTAATGGAGGCTGAAAAGGGCAAGGAGATTAAGAAGAAGACATTGGACTGGAAGAGTAAAGCCCAAAAAGCAATAAAACCGGGTGGATCTTCCTACTTAAATCTAGACAAGATGATTGAAGAAGTGCTTCTGTCCCCTAAAATTTAAATGATGTATTAAACCCTTTTTTTCATTCCATTCAAGGAACATCATGGTCCGTAGTTATTCAGCATTACGATCATGGACTCTTTACTTTTATTCTTTCTTGTTTGAAGTGTGGAAATTTTACTTAAGAATCCAATGCCTGTCGTTAACTACAAGTGTATTCGCTATTTGGTTTCATCCTCAATCCCACAAAAATGGATGTCTTCAGAGGGTAGAAAGGTAATTTAACCTTTAACAAAATATGACATGATGATTACATGATGCCCTTATATTAAAAGATTTTTTTTTTGTAAGAAAAAATTTGGATGGACTCGACTTGGTTACCATCATAGGTCAAGAGCATGTTTTTGGAACTATAAGTCATTTACAAGATAGTTAACAACCGTTTATCAATATAGTTTTTACATCGACAGCGGAATTCGAACAACAACTTTTTATGAGGAAATGCCCCGTCAATCCATCCTTATTGATCGATAAGTTCTTACAAGCGCACAGGGTTAATCATAGCAATAATTCACCTAAAATATTTCAGAGGTCGACCCTACAGGGATGAGTTAATTTTACATATTTTAATTATTATGAGAAGAAAGCAATAAAATTTAAATTCAAGAGGTTTAATATCTAACTATGAAATAAAAATAAATAGTCAAATTGAACAAAATAGGGTTGAGAAAACATTTGGTAAGAGACTAGAGCATCAGATCTTGACCCAGAGTTTTTTTTTTTTTTTTGGAGAATTGGCGAGCTTTATATAACAAAATAAGAATTTACACCCTAATCGTCAATTTTCCCCTCTTATCTTCCTCTACAATTCTAAGAAGATCAAGGGGAAAATTTGACTCAAAAATAACTTTATCAACCCTATTGAGATAATTAGCCATAAAGTCAGCAGCTTGATTACATTGGCGATATACAAAAAATATAGTCAGCTCCTTGAAATATGAGATTAAATCCTTTATATCAAAAAATGCAACTAGGGCCTTCCAAGGACAGTCAATTTTGCTATTTAAGATATCTGCAGCAAACTTTGAATCAGTGCGAACCTCAATACGTTCCCATCCTTTGAGTTTAGCAAACACCAATGCTTCTTTGATGGCTTCCAACTTGTGGATTAATATTGCGTCAACGCCTACTCCAATAGCCCCAGCTGCTAAAATGTCACCATTCTCATGTCTAAGGATGAAGCCTGCACCCCCTATGTCTCCTCGGACTGATCCATCACAATTCAAGCATTTAATTCCAGGTCTGGGAGCTTCCCATTTGCACCAGAATATAGTTGGATGAAAGAAAGCAGCGTGAAGTCTCCATTTTGTGGCTAAGGATGGGTTGTCCTTAATTTCAAAGTTTCTCCCAATCTTCTTTTGTACTTGATCTATAACAGTCTGGGCTAATGCTGTTGGTGATCTGCTTTCCTGGCAAAACAAGCGGTTGTTCCTTTCTTGCCATATAAAATAGACAGCAGCACAAAAAGATAGCTTGCGTAAGAGACCCTTTAACTCTACCCCTCTGATATGTGAACAAAGCCAATTGAGAGTTTGTGGCCAATTTTGAGTTTGATTGAAAGTCAGCCCAAGAAGACTAAGGAGAATGTTCCACACAACCTTACTATAAGAGCAGTGAAAAAATAGGTGGTGAACAGTTTCAATATGCAACTCACATAAGCAACAGGTCCCATCATTTGTAACACCATATTCACACAACTTGTCTTTTGTTTGAAGTGCTTCCCTTAGTGCCAGCCAAGCAATGAAAGAATATCTTGGTACCAAACCTTTAAACCAGATCAGATTATGCCAATGCACTCTTCCCTGTCGTGTCCGGATAGCATTCCAAGCAGATTTGGTAGTGAAGTTCCCAGACGGTGAGGGTCTCCAAATGATTCTCTCTTGCTGGTTCTTCAATCTTTGAATAGAGTGTAATTCCTACCAGAAGATGCTTAAACATGGAAGAGATATATCTGGTGGTCTCCATTGCTGTCCGTGGATGATGTTTGAAACTTTGTCGAACTTGCAATCCATAGTAATCAACGGAGTAGTCCAATTGAAGGAATTCCAAATGACACCTCGAGGGTGCCATGGTTCAAGCCAGAGATAAGTAGAACTACCATTACTAGAGTTTGAATTATCTGGTTATTTCTTAACAAGTCATGGATGTATGATACTCAAGTACCTTAGATTATCTTTTGATCCATCTAAATTGTGCCCAGTCAGATCTCATGTCTCTCTCTCTCGAGATTACAAGTATTTAATTTGGGTGATTTAATTATGTAATACAAATCTCAATATACTCTTGTGATTAGGCTAAATATATTTATCTATTTAGTGTATGATTGAATATCCCTTCTTAGTTCAATACAAACCTTTTGAGCATGTCTATGGTGGCCAATCACAAATATGTAATTAAATTAAGACAGATAAATCAAGGTAAAAGTTAAGAATTTAATTTAATAAATAATCAAAACTTCTTCACAAGACCCTAATCCTAAATAAAAATTAGTTCATTATAATTGTAAGAATAAACAAGAATTCAATGTTGAAAAATACAAGACTTAGAATAAAGAGCATGTTTTTCACAGTTGATGAGACTCTGAATTCCAAACCTTGATTTCTAACTTTGATTCTTAATTTTCAAAGAAAAACCTAGAACTAATGTTCAGACAAGTGTTTTTTTTCCCTAAAAACGACATAAAGTACTCATATTTATAGTTTCTTAAAGTTGTGACCTAAGTATGATATGATTAGGTCTCTAAAAGCTGCCAAAAATTGAGTTCGAGCATATCTCCCGATGAATAGGAATGGTAATTCTCAATACGATCCGAAAATACAACTCGAGCTTAACATGAAATTAGTAGGTATGGTTTATTTTCCACATGTTTGGATCAAAATCAGGTAAGACCTGAATAATCTACCAAGCAAATAGGTCCAAATTAGGTCAATCATGGGACCCATTTGACTTGTTTAATGTGTAATTTTATAATTTAATGGAGTAAATAAATTGGGGATATAAAGTAAATTAAAAACTAATCTAGGCTATCAATCAGTAGTATGACGCAACCATAGATTTTATGTGAAAAATAGATTCTATTTGTGAAAGTGTCACATTTTGTTTATATTTATTTGTTTTTTTTGTACCAAAAAAGAAAGCCAAAGAAGTACTACAAGCAGCAATTATGAAATCTAGGATTGGGTTGAAATTTTCTATATTTTTATGGAAATTTCAGTATAGAAAAGTCCACCATACTATCAAGACGAGAAACTCAAAGAAAGAAAAAAAATTAAGCAAATATGTTATTTAGGTCCGATTCAGGTAACCTGCGAAATTAACAGACCGTATTCAGGTCAAGAAAGTTGATCCATTTAATTTTGCGGATTGTATTCAGGTCAAAAAGGTTGATCCATTTAATTTTGCGATCGTTTTCAAGTTGATGTGTCATTCAGACTATTTGAGCCTCAATCCAATCCGCCAACCGACAACTTGACTTAATTGCCACCCCCGACTGATGAAGTCTGGCCCAAAGATCCTTTCAATGTCCAACGCTAGACATGGAATCTGCCCGCAGATCCATATAATCCAGTAGCCCTCATTTGCTTCTTGCTCTGTCTTTGCTCCATTGCTAATTTACTCTATTTGTTTTGTTAAAATTGGTTCATTTTCTTTCCAATTGAGATCTCCATCTATTAAAACAATATAAAGTAGTTTTTATCCATATTATTATTCAAATATTATAATTAACTAGCAACTTATACATATAAAGATATTACAGCTTATGCCTTGTTAATTGAACCAACTAGTGTTGGCCCTTATATTAAAAGATGCAGGAAGCTATAATCAATGCTTGGTTCACAAAAAGAACGCTAATTAATTTCTTTTTGGAATCCCTTAACAATCAATTATTCACTTAAAATCCTCTCCTCCATTCAATCTGCTGAAGGGAACATCAAAATTTGTAGTCGATGAATATGGATGCTGATAATGCTAGTGCTATCATTTCGGTATTGGTTAACGTTTGTTCGTTCGGAACTTCAATAAAAGTCACATAAGGTGCAATTACCCGGAAATGATTACCCTAAACCTTTTGTCTAGATAGGAGATTAGATAAAAGATGTGATTTGATTAGTGATTATGCCTTAGGCAAATTTCAAGATGAGGAATGGATCAACCCTTAGTGTGTCTAACACTTTTGTATACAACTTCTTGAGCCTTTGCTCATATAAGTGCACATCTTTTGCCAATCAATACAAAAACTACCGTTGCAGAAAAAAAAAAGATTATGAAGAATATTTTGGTTTCTTAATTTTTAAAGCATCGACCTTGTTATGTGCTGCACATCCGCATCATTGTCAACTTTTGTTGCTTCCATAAATGAACTAGCACCTTTGAACATAAGTGTTATCTTTAGTCTTTGATTAACCTGCCTACATGGTGATATTTGGCTAGACTTCAAATTCCTATATCGATCAGTTTAAAAAGGCTAGTCTTTACTGCTACCGTTTATGAGCTGTGGAGGGCTAGAGAAGCAAGTTGTTTTCGAATCCAGGGCCTTGCAAATTCCATTTTACTCCATTTCCAGGTAAAATGGTCTATTCAAATTTTGTTATACTATATTCTAACTTAGTTATAACATATTTGAATTTTTATTACACCATCTTCCAATTCAGTTATACCCAAGAAACTTGTCTGAAATGAAATATATGAGGTCTTGCCCGTGTATTTTTCAGTCTAGGCTAGTCTCTTGTGGTAGATTTATGACTACCATGGTGGAACATCTGCATCACATTGTGCTGTACGTCCTGCGGAAAGATTTCTAAACATAGAGAGACATTGGATTTAATACTTGGTTGGAACTTAATACTGGACAATTTTGTGAGTAGTGTTGGTTCATTTTGAAATGTGCAGTTCACGTACATGATTGGTTCTGTTCCTGATTATAAACGTTTTGCTTATTATAGATAAAAATCATTGTTGCTCGAAAAAGAAAAAAAAAATCATCAAATGTATTCTTGCATTAATAGTTGAGTTAAATGTCATATTTGAGGATGACATTCAACAAAATTTAACTTGCAACCTAATAATTTGTTACATGTCATTTTTAAAGAAAGAAAAATATCATCAAATGTCTATAAAAGTTAATTACTACATGTAAAAGACTCTCAATGATGAATGAGATTCATGCAGGATTTATATTCTGCAATCAAAATCTGGAATCTCTAACCACAAAGAGAGTAACTAGCCATGGAAAATCCAATCAAAAAGCCTCGTGCAATTTGCATCCCATATCCAGTTCAAAGCCATATTAGCGCAATGCTAAAGTTGGCCGAACTTTTCCACTACAAAGGCTTTCACAGGACATTTGTTCGCACAGAATATAACTACAAACGTTTGTTGAAATCGTGAGGTCCCAACTCTTTGGATGGTTCATCCGATTTCATTTTTGAGATACAAACATGGTTCGCCATATCCGCCGATACCGATACGTATCGGCCGAGTCGTATTTGGAACGGAAGGACCGGTACGATACCGATCCCCGAATCGCGGATATCACTATATCTGCGACGACTCGCTCTGATTCGGCCGATATTGACCGATTCGAATCCGTGATACATGATATCGGTCGATATATCCGAGTCAACTCGGAATCGACTCCGATATTTTTTTAAATTGTCTTTTTCAGTATTTTCTAATTTTAGTAATTTTTTCAAAATTTTTGGAAACTTTAATGTGTTATAATGTTCATATCACCCGATATTCAACCGATATGCCGCGACGGATATGAAACAACTGAGACCACGACGCGACCGCGACCCGCGATGGCGAACCATGGATACAAATGCATGATCATAGTGCTAAATGGTCGATCAGATGATGATCTTCCCTCGAAAAGATGAAATGGAAAAGAAAACTTTAAGTACATAAATTCAAATTTCAGGGGCCAGAAGCACTTCTTCAATCATCTTATCCAGATTCGAGTATGAAGATCCACCATGTTTTATTGCTTCTTCAGCTTTGGTCTTCCACTGCAATGCCTTCTTCTTTATTTCCTTGCCCTTTTCTCCCTCCATTAAGTCTCTTACCACCGTCTCCACCTCTTTTCTGTTCACATTATTGTCTATCTCCATTAGTCTGTTGATCTGCAAAGAGGAAGATATTTTCTTCTAAAGTTTTTTAACTTGTTAAGTTGGTTTAATGGTAGGATAAATTGCTTAAAAATAACTCTAAGGGGTAAATTGATAAAAATATTATATTTTATGGGGGTAAAGTAATAATAATTTTAATGGTTAAACATGTCTTTTCACTTTAATTAACAAACTCCATTAAGTTTGATCGTTAGTCTTGGGGGTAAAGTGACTAAAAGATAACGTTAAGGGGGAAATTGATAATAACACCGAACGTTAAAAGGGTAAAGTGATAATAACATTTTTTTTTTCAATTCAGTAACAGTTGATCTTTTCCTTTCCTTTTTTTTTTCTTCCTCAATCTAAACAAAATTCAGTATTTCTTTTTTTTTTTTTCCTTCCATTTTAGCCAAACAAGATGGACGAAAATCATCTTCCTCTACTGTCCTTTCCTTCCTCTTCCACCGGTATCCTTTCCTTTCCTTCCTCTTCCTTTCCTTCAATCAAAATGGTGCCCAAAGTAGATTTTCGACATTAGATATGAAAAAAATATAATAATGCACCGACAATTACTCTCTCACTTTCATATATTACACTGCTTCTCATGATGAAGTTATATTTGATTAAACGTACTACTGCATTTATGGACGGGGAAAAGCATTGAAATTAATGAGGATATGATGCAGAATATGGTTGAGGCAGACTTACAGATATTAAATGCGAAATTAAATCTTTTATTTCTTTCAATCCCGTTGTACTTATACGTAATTTTCCAAAATTTAAATACGGATGCATCATGCATGACCATACGGCTCACTGATCAACGACAAACACTGATAATCCCTTGAATAGATGAAATGGAAAAGATGGTTAAAGTAAATAACTTAAATTTTAGGGGCCAGAAGCACTTCTTCAATCATCTTATCCAGATTCAGGTAGGAAGATCCACCATGTTTTATTGCTTCTTCAGCTTTGTTCTTCCACTCCAATGTCTTCTTCTTGATTTCCTTGCCCTTTTCTCCCTCCATTAAGTCTCTTACCGCATTCTCCACCTCTTTTCTGTTCACATTATTGTCTATCTCCACGCCAACACCCCAGTAAGAGCAACAACTCAAGCAATTAGTCTGTTGATCTGCAAAAAACGGCCAGCAAATCATAGGTACTCCAGCTGACAAGCTTTCAAGAACAGAATTCCATCCACAGTGTGTTAAAAATGCACCAACTGATGGATGACTAAGAACGAGTTCTTGATTACACCATGTAGCTAACATCCCTCTATCCTTAGAAGCAATGAAGAATTCGGGTGGGAGATCGATTGGCCCTCCATTGACAAGATCAGGCCTGATTATCCAAAGAAAGTACTGCATGCTATTGGCAAGTCCCATTGCAAACTCAACCAACTGATTTTCAGTCATGACTGTAATGCTACCAAAGTTAACATAAGCGACTGAGCCTGCCTTCTTGGAATTCAGCCATTCTATGCAACTGTCATCTTCTTTCCATAGATTTGATTGGATTGCTTCTGTGGAATGGTCATCCTTTTGCACCTCTTTGTGAAGCAAGTGAATTGGTCCAAGAGTGTATACATGATCCATCATGGAAGAAAATTGCTCCAAAATACCGTGTTCTAGCTGCTCAAAAGTGTTCAGAATGACAGCAGCACCCTTCAAAGTCCATGGTATGAGCTTAACTAAATAATCCACAAACTCATCCTTGGGATCAGTAGTCCAGATTACGGTTGGGATGTCTTTTAATCGGACACTACTAATTCCAGGAATCCAATCAATGGTATTTTCCATGTACCCATTGGTAAACCAACTTGCATCTGTAAATTAAATATATATAAAAAAGCTGTACATTACATACAATTGAAACAAGAAACATTCAATACCTAAAATTGATATCTTAATATGGCAAAGGATGAAAATAAAATACAATATTGGCCAAAACAGGATAAAGTAAGATGCTCTGATTGCCCTATATACATTAATCACCGTCTTGATTCTTGAGTTTGTCTGGGTTCAAGAAGAGAAAATTATTAACGAGAAAACAGTGCCAAATAATTTGATGTGCTGTAAAATATAATAACTATAATTTGAAGTGCATGAGAATTGAGTGCTAAACTTTATGTGAGCAAAGTTTGCTCAGTCTGTATAATCTTTTGAAGGGTAAATTATCTTTTACCCTCCTATGATTTGATGCTTTGAACCATATAGGGGTTATGTAGTAAAACACCAAATTATATGGGGTAAAAGGTAACTTATCCTTTTTTTGAGCCCCTTTGGATTTCAAATTACACGTGCAGTATTTGCATTAGTCACGAAGCTACTCCATTTCTGAGTCCAATCATTCTATGGTTCATAGGATATTTTTCTATCGAGTCAGTCATTATATATACTATCTGAATTACTGCTAAAATATTACCTTTATCCAATTTTCTCATTGCAAGGTTGTTATGTTATTTTTCTATAGAGGAAAAAAAAAACAAAATTCTTTTTTGTACCTTTGAGTGGTGTATACCCTCGTTCACGAAGTTGAGGAAATTGCGAGAAACACATGACGGTTAATGCACTCATGGTCCAAAAGAGTACATCTGGGATTCCTAGTTCTTCAGCTGCCTCAACTGTGAATGTGGACAGAACAGCATCAGAAATTATACAAGTTACAGGAGGAAATTCATCATCCACCGAAGCCTTATTGTTGAGCCTTCTAATCAGATCAACAAATGGGCGGTAGAAATTTTTTGCAGTTGAAAGCAAAAGCTGGAAAACATCTTGGGTAACATCATCATTTTCAGCAGGTGGGAGGCCATCTGGGATGGTCTCAAACTTGAAATCTGGTGAACCATCCAGCGACTTGGGACCCCTTGATTTCAGCAAACGTTTGTAGTTATATTCTGTGTGAACAAATGTTATGTAAAAGCCTTTATGGTGGAGAAGTTTGGCCAACTTTAGCATTGCGCCAATATGACTTTGAGATGGATGTGGGATGCAAACAGCATGAGGCTTCCTCACTGCTTTCCCCATTGCCATTTGCTCTTTGATCAGTTTGCAGTTGAAGTCCTCTTTAATATGCATGGTGGATATTTAATGCTCGTGATGAACTGTTTCCTATTAGTTTTATACATTTTATTCACACAGTTTCTTTTTTTTGGATTGAAAATGCCATTCCAACTAAATTGTATGTCAGATGCTAGAAATTTTATTGGATGCCCCTTATATTATGGCAAGAAGAAATCGAGGTATGAGTTTTGTTAGGAAATTTTTCTCTGATTGAGAAAAGGGTGTTTTGATTTTTTTTTTTTCTAGCAATAGGGTGACAAGAGTGAAGTGTGAGATTTCTAGCAATAGGGTAAGGATATACATGAAATTACCCCCATAAAAAGAACTATTTGATAAAAGATCATTCAATTAGAGGAAAACAAAGATATTGGTCCATTTTCCTGCTGCAAATGTTCGACTATAGATGTGAGCAATGATATTAGAACCGACATGTACAGACATAATAAGTGGAGCTACTTCAACCACTAGTAGCAATGTACTGCCATCGGTCTCAATATTTCTCGTTACAGCCTTACAGGCTGGATGGATGAGACTTAGAGGGGCATTGGAAAGGTACAATTGGAAACTCTAGAAAATTTACAGGGTACAATTGTAGGACCAAATTTAAAATTTTAATATATAACAAACCAATTTTAAGAATCTTTTGGTGTTGGACTTGGCGGGTAAAAGTTGCTCTTGTTATGATTAAGATTTTATCTGCACCTTTTGGTACTGAAAATATATTCTCAAGAAGCCATTAGGACATAATACCTTTTGTGTTACGAAAGGACAAAATGACGGAAAATGTAATACAAGTGAAGGGTTACAACTTTATAATTCAGATAAGCAAGAAATCAAGTACAAAATTGCGCAATATCAAGTCGTGATTCAAGTGTTTTTGGCTGTTCAATCAGGCCATTAAATAACTAGAGTAATTACTCCCAACAAAGAAACTGAAGCCTTGGAGCCACCATCGCCCGACAAGCCCACCAACTTTTGCTGCCAATAATGGCAAGCTTCTAAGAGCCAGCAGAAGTGCAGACCCCTCCAAGCTAACCCTCCAGAATTAGGTTTTCCACCCTTAGAAATTTAAAAATTTTCAATAGATTCTTTACAAATTAAAATTTTTGTCCCCTCAAAAATTTGAAAATATTATAGGTATATGCATCAATTTAAACATGTTAAAACTCATCCCCTCCATATAAATTTTGTGATTCCGTCTATGAATGAATATGTCTCATCCTGAATAGACCTGACTATTCCTACGAATATGCCAATCATGCGAGTTGTAAAGGGATTGGATGACCAAATCATTGCAATAGTCTTCTTGTTTCTCTTAGAAGATAAGACAAATATGTTGAATACTTTTAGTAGATTAATCTTGTTATTGTAAAGGCAGTCAACGATCAAACTCTTAGAAATTAATTTGCTGGAGGCATGATTTGATCCGATTGTTATACTTATTATAGTATTTGGTGTACAATCACATTACGTTATTGTACTCGCAGCAAAAATGATTATGAAGATTAAAATATTTCGCTTTCATTCAATACAACATTATAATGTAGTTATACATAATAAATTTAAACAAACGCAATAATCAGATTGAATCATACACAATACAACAACACGCTTACCTAATCCCAGATTATGCTAGAGCAGATTAAACCGTTTGGAGAAAGTGATGTTCAAATGCATCTTGAAATCATCTCTCTTATCCTAATATAATGGTAATGCGATGTGTGCCCTAAATTTTGTAGCCTACCATTTGATGGACGACGGAGGCAGAAAGGATTGTTGCCAATCATATAAATTACATGTGTGTGATAGTATGGCATGGCTTATAATTTAATAGCGCAACAATTTAGATTGCTCGTCAATCAAGTCTTAGAGTGAACTTCAGTACAAAAGATCAATAATCATGACTTGATAGCACAACCAGAAGTTTGTAAAGTATTCAAA